ACATTAGCGCCCTCATACTATATTTTTCTAGAAAAACCCAAGGCAATGTATGATTTCTCTAAATGTTTTTTGTGTGTTTGCTTTTAAACATTATACTACAGATTAGATGGTGAGAGCTGAAGCTGTATAAAAAGCATTCAGCTAGGGGTGGTTCATATGAATAAAATCCTCTATCACAGTATGTAATTTTATATCACTATATCAATATCTATCGTAATAAGAGTACGTTTTATAGACAATCGATTGAGAAACAGTTTATGGATAACATACCAGTAGGAATGTATGTCTTTAGCTAATAAAGTAAATTGAATACCTTAGGAAAATCCCATGAAAAAAATCCAATACCATCACAAACCGGTTCTGCTCATCGATCTGCTTCTATGTCCTCAATGACATAACACCCAGATATTAAACTGGCGTGCAGACTATCATGGATGAAAAAGGTGACAACGATGCGACTCCCTCTAGGAGGAACGCGGTCTTCGATTTTATCTTTATTTTATTTTTTATAGTGCAATTAGATTTTTAACCTTGACAAGTCACCAATGTATGAGGGATAAGATAAAATATTTTACCTTCAAAATAGGTATGCTTCTAGTGTTGGAGCACTTTTCTGTTCACAAACTAACCAATATTTTAGAATTACAATAAAGCAAATATCTGTACATATAATCTTTATCAACACTTAAGAAAACCAAAATGTACATCAGTCAGTGGGCGGGTCTCCCAACTTCAGTGTTTCATTTGCGCTCACTGTGTGACTGTCTAGAATGCCATCCTGCTTGCTGTGCAAAACTCAGCATCTGATGCTTGCACTGTATGGAAAACGCTTCTGGGTGGCATGTCTGGTGATTAATCGATCAGGCTGCTGACCTTCCACTGACCTCACAGATCAGTGGATTTCAGCAACAGATCTTTGAGACTTCATCTGTCGCTGAAGTTGTGCATTGGACTCTGAGCCGAACTAATCCTTACTTATAAAAAGGAAACGGGCTCAGATAGTGATCAGCACCGCAGTAGACTGGACAGCTCCGCCTCGAGCAAGGTTTACTATAATCCCACGATTAAATAGAAACAACAGTGTTAAACAAATGTAGTACATGGCTTTATTTATCTGGCACTGATGTAACCCTACGAGAACACGTTTAGGTTTTGAATAACCTAAAACATGTCATCTTTTATGAGCCTATATATCTAAAAAATGACTGTCATTTGGAAAGCTGGATTTCTGCTTTATGGAATTTTAGAAATACCTTTATAAAACTAGGAAATTATTGTTAACTGCTATTATTTCATGCAAACAGTAAGGAGGGAAAAAGCAATGAAATGTAAAAGCATTTTTAAAAGTTCCCATCTTGACTTCCAAGGGGTAACAACCTTTTTGATACGGCTTTGTGGATTAGGCAGGCACTGATGGGGCAGAGAACAACAAAGAGTGATTCCGAACAAGACAAATCAATCACTATTCCAAACAAGACAAATCAATCACTTTTCTGGGAACGTTTGCTTATTGTCCTATGATGTTTGTAACCTACATTCCACCTTTGCATGGTCGAGTGAAAGGGAAAGTTTACTTGCTTTTGGTTCATTTTCTTCACGCACTAAAAACACCCTGTCAACCCAAGTCAAAGACTACACAACACACAGGACTTACGGAAATATATGGGAGATTTATCATCATTAACTTATGTGTGAGGCCTTTACATTTTTAGAATGTGCTTATTTCCTAACGGCAGACTAATTCAAAGCACCCTGAATCTATTAACATTGTAGGGAGCAGATTTTTTCCTTACAGGGCCAGTGGTAATAGTGATGTGATATGGAGATCTACATTTTGAAAGTATTTTCATGATAATGAATGTGTAATATTGGAAAGGTAATTATGAAACTAGTGGCCTCCTCTCCATCTCTCTTGTTGCTTCTTTTCAGTCAACAGCGTGTGCATGGTAGTATGGTACCGCATGCACATACTGATTCATTTCATAAAGTTCAGTGAAGATGTCAAGACCCGGTGGCAGTGACATTTCTGGAGTGAGAGGATAGTTTCAACTTTTTGTGGTGGAGCGAGTATGGTAACAAAAACAATATAACAATTGTGGATCATAAGTCTTGTGTTCAAACTTTTACTTGGAGCTGCATTTGGATCCAACCTCATAGATACATAGCACTTTTCAAATACCACTTCACAGTATACTAACACATGCACAAACCATGAGTATCCCATTCTAAGTCACAACATGTATCGGTAGACTACAAGGTCGCTGAACAAAGAGAATCAACCAGACTCAAAGGGCATCAATGGGATTTGAGATCAAATCTTATACAGAACCACATCAAAAGACAGCACACCACAGAAAGTAGTATAAACAAGTTATCAATGTCTTTGAGCCATTAGCAGCACATAGAAAAAGCAGGCTGCAGCTGCCGTGTGCAATTTTCAAAAACGATTTACAACACATGAGAAGAAGAACAATAAAACCAGCCAAAATTATAAAAGTAGTCGCTTACCATTACAGTTTGTGAGGGCAGCGTAGGTGTTGAACCATTTCAGTACAGCCATCCATTCTTGAACTGTCACACAGCACTTGTAGGTCGTGTTTCTCTGAAAGGTCAGCAGGATGAACAGTTCAGGATTGGTCCTACACCTACAGGCCAGGGTGTAGAACATGACATGTTGTTACCAGTCCAAACAACATTTCATGAAAGTGAAGTGAATATAAGACGTACAAAGTCGGGGCATGCTGGCTGGGTCGACTGAGCTGTGAAAATACTAGCTGCATAATTTCTGTCACTACCATAGCTCAATTACTTCATTGAAAGGTACCTTGTCGTTTTCATTGAAACGGGCTTGTTACACTTACATTGGTTGTCCTGTCAGTCGCAATGCTTCCCTCGGAGAAGCAGCGGCTAGTATGGATGGAAGCTAGCCGGGAGTTAGCGTCACTGAAACGTATGCTAGCACTTGTGCTAACAATGCTGCATTAAAACTGTGCTAACTCCCTTACTCGTCTCCCTTTTGTTTCCTGGGATGCTACAACAACTCGTCAACGTTAAAACTTTTGGTTAACAAGTATATATAACTGTATTATGACGGTTTCTCTCTCATTAGCAGACGCTTTTCATGGCAGTCATTCTGAGTTAGCGGGTAATTCAGCAGCACATGTGACGTTGATAACGTTAATTAGGGTTGCATTCCATATAGTGAGGTTAGTTCAACCGCTACACTATTTTACATGCTCACTCACTGATAAAACTTACTGGGACGCTAATTCGAATCGTGCCATTGTATTCACACGTGCTCTTCCTGCAACTGAAAAATAATTCCATTAAAAAGGTTGATAAAAGTTGATTCTATAATTATTTCTAATTGTTCCTATTAGTTTAAACACATCGTTATATCTAAATGCAAACTCTGATATGTGATTGTTTCAAAACACACAACCAGAAGAAAATAATTCCATAATTTCACACCTCCTGTACCTACTTCCTCTCAGAAAGCTAAAATAACTGATGTTTAATTTCAACGTTTTTTCAGCCTCTATTCAGGCAGGCAACTCATTAAAATACGAATTCTTGTTTACAATGGCAGCCTGGCAAAGGGCCTCTTAGAGGGAGGAAGTGGTTTGACAAATAAATGTCAAAGCAAGTTAAAAAGTGGGCAGCAACCGTCCAAATATTTCCAACATACCCAATAATTACATACTATCACAACAAGCATTGCATGTGACAACAAGCATTACATATACATATATATATACATATATATACATATATATATACATATATATATACACATATATGCATATATATATACATATATATATACATATATATACACATATATACACAACACAAGAGAAGAAGAACAATAAAACCAGCAAAAATTATATATATGTGCGGAGAAATGTTTGTTATTCATTCCTACTGCATCCTTCAATTTCACTTTCATGTTTTGCTGCAGCTGTAATCCCTGTTGTTTGAATTTTTTGATTTTAGACAAATTACCTTTTTTGTAGGCCAAACAAAACAAGGGTCACAAGGGATGTTACGACCTGCATGTAAAACTCACCCAGGATTTTTTACATTTTTGCAAAATACCTTTAGTATTGTGGTGCAATTTAAAACAATTTGGAGAATGGGGGAAACACAGATCAGGTCAACAGCACTATCTTTATAATGTAACACGAGTGTCCTATACTCTTTCTGTAAAATACATCCTGAAGTAAGGCAGCTTTCCATGAGCGGTTTGATTGCCAAAAGTCGCCAGGCCAGGATTTGGAAATCTTATCACTCTACTGCTATCCATCTATTTCCCAAGCATTTTCTGTGGGTTGTTCAAAGTTATTCTGGGAAATTTAAGACATCTAAATCAAAAGTGTATGTAGATTAGTTAGGACAGCTCAAAGAACAATCAAAAAGAAACACATGTTATACTTAAGCTTACCTGCCTCTGCCTTTTTATCAAAACAAAACATTTAAAGAAGGATTTTTCTCCTCAGAGCCAAGTCAATATGTGTGAGTTTGGAAAAATACACACTTTGTTCAAAATACTTTCTTGCTTCACATGTTTATCGTCATAAGGGCACTTAGTTCACAGGCTATTGTTAGACACCACCTAAAGAGTGAGGAATGTGTTTGATTTTAAAGGCTGCACTTATGTCTCTTTAGAACATAACTAACAAAAGTAAAGAAACCCAATTACATAACTTAAAAGATAATGCTGTATATAGCCCTGAAGTCAATAACGCAGTCTTGGGAGGCAGGTATACATAATATAATGCCTTCATTATACACAGCAGTATATTTGGAGAGGGTACTAAAATTCATTTTACTTTTGAGAGAAAATGATTCTTTAGGGCTTACACTCTCCTTGTTATTACAACATAAATCTGGTATAATGGCAAAACAAAGCATATAAAAAGAAGGTTCAAGGGAGGATAGAAAAACATTACTTCAGTCTGTGGATAATCCCATCAGATAAATAAAGAGAAAAACAGTGGTTTCCTTTTTAATTGTTTATTAAGATATAAAGCAGGCACATGAATATAAGAAACGTGTGCACTAATAAGTCAGCTCTCAACAAAAAAATCCACAGCAAAATAGTTGATATCACTCAAATCCAAACTCAATTACAGCAAAAGACAAACTGTCGAAATGTTTAGTTCTACAGTCAAATAAAATAAAAACAAATCCACCTAACAGATAATCATATCTTTCACTGCCAAAGATCACAGATGTCAAACGAGCAAAACAAATTTCAGCCCGAGATCTGAACAGCAGGGTTTCAAAGCCTCTGAACAACAATGCACCTCAATGTACGACTGGAAAACTCCTGCTTTTTACCTGAAGTTAAAAAGAAAACAAACTCTCTCCCGTTTCATTTTAAAGCTCCAACTCCTGGCAACTTGATTTTAGTTTTCTATAAAGATTGTGCCCGACATAATACCTTGATTAGTGTTCAAGCTTAAGGGCAAGGAAAAAACAAGCAGAGTTTAAAGTAGAAGAAATCCCCTCTCTTCCTTGCACCTCTAAGCAGTGGAGAGAAACATATTGATCCCTTAATTTGAACACACCTTAAATCGTGGAGGTGTTTGGTTTTATTGACAGTTAATGAAGCTTGTCGGCTTTGGAAAGAAATGACTCTGGGTCTTCTCGTTGTTTAGCCCACTGGGTTCTCCCAGTCTCTCAGGAGGCCAGGCCAATAAACAAAGTCTGACCAAGTTATGCAGCAAAAACAGAAGGTTGGGGGAAAATACTCAGTTGCCTTCTGTTTGCTGCAAGGATACATAAAAACAAAAAACTGAAAATACAATGAATTTGAGATGTTTAAATTATAAAGAAATGACATTTACCAGTACAGGGGTATAAATCATTCAGCACAGAACATATAATGTTTTCTTTAGACTTATTTGAAGCATGTATAGTGGCATAACAATGTACGTATAAAGTTAGAAAAAGGTACACATGGAAAAATAGTGACTTTGGTTCCTTATGCCTGAACCAAAACACATTTAAAATATTACCAGTTAGCCTAGCACATCCAAATGAACTACAGTTATTCTTCAAGTTAAAAAAAGCTAACAGATTTTGCATAGTACATATTTGCAGTAAAGAAGGTATTTTGCCCTAATCAAACATTGTAGTGAAAAACCTTCCTTCCATCAAAATGCATTAGTCCGTTTGATTTCCCTCTATCTGTATTTTCCAAAGGAGAGACAGTTATTGCTACAGACTAGAGCAAATCCAAACGTATGGAATAGAAACGAGGCAGTGTAGGAATATAATGACCGCCTATGCAAAAGTGGAACAAATAGAATAAAAACCTTTCTTTTTGATAGAATGACAAGCTCCATCTATATATAAACTCATTGGTCAATATGTGTGTTCTCTTGACTGAAAGGGGAGTCTAGATGCTATCCATGGCCTTGAACTCGCTGAGAGCCTGCACGGGGTTGATGTGCTTCTTCTGAGAGGACCTCTTCACCCGGTTGGTCTGGTCGTCCTGCTTCTCTCTCTTCACCAGGGGCTTCTTCTCGGGGGCTTTCATCTTCCAGGAAATGGCCGGCATATTCAGAGCCTCCATGTTTTTGTTCTTCTGGTACTTAGTAGAGGCAACGTAGGAGGCCTTGACAGTGGACACGACTGTGTTCATCAGATTCTTTGCGGCCTGAATTAGAGACATGGCGCTGTCCAACTGTGGAAAAGACAGAGAAACGGTTAGCCTTGGAACATCGTAAAAATAACCTGGCATTTTTTCTTTTATTCACACCTTTTTGAATGAACGCAAATTGAAAATAAAAGTTTCTGTCCTTTTAACCTTTTCCAATTTAATGAGAAACTATGATTAACGGAAGAACCAACCAACCAACCACAGAGTTGGTCTGGACTAAGAACAGATGTGAGAGATTTGAGAATATGGGAAAAGGTCACTCTAATTTAATCCCCACAATTGAATAGCCCCAGAGACAGCGGTGACACTTGACTTCAAGAGTTGGAAGCATAGGCTCATTTCAGCCCTACAGAAAAGAGGATGGCAATAATTATTTCCTTCACACAAAGGTAACCTATCTTTAAAGATCCGAGTGGCAAGTAAGAAGTTCATTAACGCTCCAGGGTTCTGTAAACACTGGCCTTGTTCAGTGTTATCTTAAGAGCTCAAAAAGGTTAAGAAACAGTTGGCCAACAATAGTCCAGCACAAGGAAAGCCATTATTTCTGTTATCTGTTTATTTGATATAAAATATAAGCTGCTGATTACAGTGCCGAAAATGAATCATTAGCTAATCACAAGCAACAGCCAATGCCATTAAGTCTTAGTATTTTTAATTTATGTGGGCATTGCCGGATAATAAAACTTTAGAAAGTATTCTAATGCATTCTATTGATTTAATTATGTTTCTGCAAGAAACTTCCTTGTCAACAATCACAATCCTGTTTACCTCATTGCTTCTTACCCAAAATACTCTGTGCGTATCCTTCCTTCGGGAACAGACTGCATTTCCTACTTACATTAAAGTTTAACCCCTTTTTGCGAATAATTTTGAAGCTGAATTGCTGCTACCAGCCCACTTCCATTTGAACTCTTAAGATATTTTTACAATGAAGATTACATACATACTGTCCATGGTTTAGTTCAGTGATTATCAACCTTTTTAGAGCCACGGTTCATCTTTTACATTAAATAAATCCTGCGGAATATGAACAACCCAAAAAGGTACAAAATGAGACATAGTAGCTTTATACAGCAGAATTATATTTAATGACGAGTCTCTCAATGTGGCTACGAGTTCAGCTGGTAAGTAACTAGCTTTGAGAGCTCTCTTTGGGTTTTTTCTCGTAACAGATACCCATTTCTCAGTTTGTTTACGCAGGCAGAAAAAAAAATGGTCCGTGTTGTTCTTTTGAAGTGACAGGTGTTTTGTTTGCAGTTGACGATTAAGCTTCCTTGGGAACATGGCACTGTTGGATTTTATTTGCAGCAAGTAAATAATATTTTTTGGACTGACTTAGTGAAATTGGAACGTGTCCCACAGCGATCTCTTACGGCACACTGGTTGAAATTCAGTAGTTTAAAAAAGGTGTTGAACTTACCCCGGAAACGACCAGCTCTCCTCCCAGGTTCTGCACCTCGGCCTTGACCTTGCTGCAGATGTTGAGCTGGTGGCAGTACAGGGCGATGCGCTGCAGGTAGGCCAGCAGGTCCTGCTTACAGGTGGAGTCGGGGCACTGCGAGGGGTGAGAGAACAGGCGTCAACACATCACTTAGTATGTGAGCATACACAGGTTTGTGGTTCCAATGCTACCTGCTTTTGCTGGTTGTACAATGAATCAATTTTTGGAACTCGCTGCTACTACTCAATGTGAATATTTATGTGATTGTACAGACGCCATGATCTCACACTTTATCAAGATGAGTTAGTAGCAGTGTGACAGGTAATGTAGACACCCACATTAGGGCCGCGCTCAGAGCCAAAATGACAAACGCACGCCCACAACTTGGTAGATTGATAACTCATCTTCACAGGGTTAAGCATGATCAAGTCACACAGCATGCCAATTCTATTAGGAGGAAAACACAACTGTCAATCAATTAGCTTTGGGTAACAGTTTTAATCTGGTGTGAAGTTTTTTTAGAAACAAAAATACATGATCTGAAGTGTTAACAGCACCCTGGTTCGCAGATGAGTAATGTTTTCAAAATGTAACAAAGTCATCATCCCACCTCCTGTCACTAATGTGGGTTCTTGCCTTCAACCCGACAACAAGGTGTGAATTAAAGGCGCAGCACTGGAGAAGCACTCTAACCGGCTTCAATAAATACAACTAGTACTCGGAGGAAAAATGCAACGGATCAGAGCTTAAATTGTGAAAGAGCAGAGACTATGGACTTAAAACCTAGTCCAAAAAGCCTCTTATTCCCAACCATGCATTGTAATATTGCAAAAAGTCAGCTGGGATCAAAACAAAATACATTGGAGCCATAAAAAATCCATCAACTTCAAGAAATCCCAATAAATTATTATAAAACCCACTTGAAAGTGGCAGCATGCAAAGAGCTCCACAAATGTATTTCGTTTAGCATTGGCAATCCTTTTGAATTATTTCATCTCATCATAATTAAGACTCAAGCCCTGCCTTTAAACACCATTTCCAATCTCTTTCCTAGTTTGCTAAGCAAGCCCCCGGCCAGCATGTTGATTAGGAAACATTGATGGGTGTCTGATGCTTTGCATCCGATTGTAGATCTCAGAGACACGACACTAAGGATATGTCAGCGATGATCATTACATTAGACGGACTTCGTTACAGATAATCAGAGGCTGGCAGCTTTTCACACTCACTAAACTAACTCTACCTGTGAAAAGCACTTTGGTGACCATGTCTGTGAGCAAGCCAAGAGAAAATACTGGCTCCAAAGTCCAGTATTTGCAGGTGCTTGGCAGTCTGAAGGAGGAGTCCTTTGGCAGAGCTTCATTCTGAGTGCAGAGGAAAAGGTGAAAGGGAAGTAATAGCAGCCAATCTTTTAATTGATGGAATCTCTGCAGACAGGAAAATGTTGAGGTCAGTGCTGACAAACAAGTGTTTGCATGAGTCTAGACAAACTCAAGAGGCTTTTTGTCTGGATATAACGGAGCGTATGACAGAGTTGACATCTCTCAAAAATGACCGCTATTATCGTGCACTAAATCCACACAGGGCGAGGAAACCCCAGATGTCGTTTCTCTATGCAAACGGAGGAAACCGAAATATCTTTGCTATCAACATTGTACCACACTTCAAAGAGTCTAGGACTTATGATGCTTCTAATCCTGCTGAGCGCGTCTGTATCCCTGGTGGGTGTGTAGAGCGCTCTGCTGAATACAGTGCACACACTCCCAGAAACACAGCCATGCATGCATCTACACACTCTCCCCAGCCAGCACAACTGTGCCCCTTTGTACACATCATACCTCAGAGCGGCGGGGGGCTTTAGTAGGAGGACGAGAAAGTGAAGCACAAATAAAGCAATATTCTTTCAACGTATTCAAGCACATATTTAAAGGTCACAAACAAATCCTACTCAAAACATTAAAAATGATGTATTTCCTTATGGAGAGCTCTAAAGATTTCCTCTGACAGTGTTAATAAAATGGACCTTAAGTCTTCTCTGTCACTACCGTCCACTGCTGATTAATAGAGGGATGGGCTGAGGAGAAAGGAGGGAAATGTAAGAGTTGACATTCTATTAAAGAAGGTATGCAAGAGGAGATGAGGGGAAAGAGAGCTGGAGGGGATGATCATCATACATGGCTGAGAGACTAGAGAAAATGGGAGTGGGAGGAAGTGTTTTCTTTTTTTTTTAAAGAGAGAGAGGAAAGAACCAGAGAAAAATAGGTAGTTGAAGAAAAAGACGAGGATGAAGAATGAGCCAGAGGGGAAACAGCATGGAGGAGTAAATAAGGGGGCTAAATCCAACTGGGGAAGCGGGACGTAGACAGGAGGATTCAACTGTAGTCGGTCGGGGGGGGGGGGTATAAGCAAGTGAGAGAGAGCGGGAGCAGTAGCACAGACCTAGGATGAGGCTGAATGCAGCAGCCATGCTAATGAGGGCTTGGGGAAGTATTCAGACGGCTGAGCGCAGGGCACTGTGAAAGCATCACTTGTGCTCGTACTCAGCTCAGCTGCTGGCTTCACTCAGCACTCAGGAAACTCTGCAAAGGCTGCTCTGAGTGTGACATGTGAATACAGAAGTTGCCCAGAGAAGAGACAAGAACACCTTGGATTGTTTTGGGTAATGCAAATAGAAGCACTGCGTGTGATTAAGCCGTGCGCTGTTCACAAGCTGATACCTGCGCTGTGATCCAAACCAGATGTCTCAGTAGGTGACTCAAATCGCACAAAGAAAACCTTTTTATTCCTCTGCTTTTATACTCAACGGCATGAATAATTAATAGTGCAAATAATAAATGGGGCATATAATGTGGGTGTATTTGTTCAACTTATATGTTAATGCATCTGCCGGTTGTGCTAACACCATAGCCGTGCAGTCATGTTGAAAATCATATCTATCCCCACTATTCAAACAATTCATTTCCATTTCACAAAGCAGAATTTGCTCTGGTGTGAAAAAGAGAAGGAGCATCGCTCTTGTTCCCGGTGAGCGATGCTCTCCTCTAATAGTGACTTCCAACATTAGAGCCCATCATTGTAATTTTTTTTCCCCCGTCGTCTCTGGCTGCTGCTGTAAATGTTCCTGAGGCCTGATGATATAGCCCCTGTGCTTCTCCCTACATGCTGTGTGGCCACTTATGGCCTGGGACAGCTAACCTTGCTTGGTCAGCTACTATTGAGAGATGGCAGAACAGGGAGAGAGGCACTGGAGACTTCCACACAAGACTCAGAATATCTTTTAAACTAATAGTGAAGGTGAGTCACCTTCTTTCAAAAGCAGACCGCAGTAAAAGTTATAAATGTCAACATTTCTTGTTAAGCTCGCCTTTTCACTGCTGACTTTAAGTGCCTTTTCAAAAAAATATATGTAAAAACATCAAAGTTGAGTCAAAGGGTAGCTCATTATTATTCTTATTTGCTAATTGAATGTCTTCAGCTCTATATTCATGATGGTTTTACTTCTAGCTGTGTGTGGGTAGCTCTTGTTCTATTTAGCATTTCTTGGCATTTAAGCTATTGCTTAAGAGCATTGTTTTTCTCACTTCAGACTAAGTACCACTTACTTATTATAAGAAAACTCCCCAAATGAACAAAAGAGTAAATGTGCTGCTAAGAGTAACCAAATTACAAATAACAGTCAATTGAAATGACGAATAGTCAATAGGTGCGTTCACACCGCAGTACTTTTCCCACTTTAGTTCCGAAATGTCGCGTTCACACTAAAAAGAGCCAGAACTAAAATGAGTTCATGAGAACCTTTTTTTACCCCCTTTTCCGTCCCTGCTAGAGAGCAGGTACTTTCGTGGGAGAAAAAGGTTCCTATGTCTGATTGGCTGGGCGGTTTGCAAACCACGCCCCGTAACACTCCCAAAAAGTGTTGTGAAGCCGCCATTTTATTATCCTCGCATTAGCATTATTAGCATTAGCCCCGCGCACAAACGCAGAGAGACTAACTTATGGCAACACAAAAGAAAACATGGGAGCGGTGGAGATGAGGAGGTGTCGGCGTTCTGGCGATTTACTCGGAAGGCTTCAGTAGAAGCTGCTGGGAGTCCCAGCAGCTTCTACTGAAGCCAGTCCCCAACTCCGGGGACTTCCGGCCGGGGATTTTGGGCGGCAGTATACGCCGTGAAGTTGTTTGCGGCCTGCCAGTAAACCCAAAGCAGGAGAAGAAGGGACGTCAGCGGCTTCATTTGCCTAATCCACCCCCAGGGATTTATTCCGGTGTGAACGCGATCTGTACTTAGTTCATGAGAACTAATGAGTTGTCAGGAACTAAATTCTGCTGAACCTTTGTGGGAAAAGTACTGCGGTGTGAAAGCGCCTAAGAACATTTAAAAAAAGATTTCTAAAATAACAGGTTTAAGAAATGAATAATTCTGCTGCGACTCATTTGTTCGCCTTCCAAAGCAACATTTTCACTGTGGTCAATATGAACTGTGGAACAAACTAACAACCAATTTATATGATAATGTATGAATTTAAAATAAAAGTTGGTTTTGATATTAAAAACAACATGTATGCTACACTCTACTGGGCTTGAAGGCATTTTGAGAAACACTGTATTTGGACTTTAAAGTAAGTCATTGTATTTCATCAGATCGACTCAGACCACTAGGGTTACTTTCCAAACGTCTGCTCTAGAGAAGCACTGACTGAACCAAAAACATATTTTTCACTTATCAGACCGCCCAACAAAATAAAAGGAAATGAGGCAATAACAATGACGGAGCAGGATGTTGAACAAAAGGATTTCACTGTGCTACGTGCCGGGTAATGTGCATGATTTAAATGATGATCAGGAAGGTCAGGTCCCATCATTGGAAATGCCATGCAGTTCCGCTGAATTCTATTAAACAGAGGCAGAGCCACTGTGCTGCTGCTTCCGCCTGAACTGACCTTTCAGGACGATCACCCAGAGGAAATGCCAATTTCCAATATTTACTGACAAGGGAGCCTCCTAATGTGCCGCTGCCGGCGACCTGTTGGTTGGTGCTCCAGGGCGGTAAACACAGAGGCCTTTTCTAATAACTTTAGTTTTTCAGTCCCTCCCCGTCATGAGAGAATTGATACAC